TATATTGCGTTAGTTTTTAAATTTTGTGGAATTTAAAGCAAATATAAGTAAAGAAAATTTATAAAAATAGTCTGATTATTATTATCAATATTACGATTAACGTTTTGTACGTATGAATCGATTATCATATCATTAGAAGATTATGAACGTATCGTATCAATGTGTGTACTAGTATCTTTGATATAGTACCTACTGTCACATGTTTTCATACTTAACTAACGTTCAGGCCTATTTTAGAGATATTTCTCCTAATTATGGACTTGTACCCGAGTATTGTGTGCCTCTAATGAGTTAGTGTACTTATAGAGTCTCCCTTGCCTCCTAATTGTGATTCCACAATAGGTCATCACATTTGTTTGCAGTTTTTAATAATTATTAGTTTAGAAGATTCTGTTAACACTCGAAGGTTACAGTCGCACGCATGCTAATGGTGTATTAAACAAAATAGTTCTAATCCACTAAATAGTGATAGAGACTTCCGCAAAATATCAGTAAAAAAATTATCAATTTGCTTCAAATTATATTAATAGTCGAGGTCACGTCTCTATCCACGTGACCAATAAATAAATAACCAGATTAAAAATTGGCATACGTCCTTCTCGATTCCAAATACTACGTATACATAAAACCAGCTGTATTCTACGGCTTTATCCATGGTCTTATCGAGAAGTTAAATAACCTATAACCTTTCTCAAGAAATGAGCTATCAAATAGAAAAAAAATACAAATCGTCATTTTAGATATTAGCGCATTAAAATAAACAAATAAACTTGTAACTTGTGTCTTAAAAATAAAATATTAGTATAGATTTTATTTTCATATTTATAATAACATTAATTTTACCCGTGACTTTGTCTACGTGACCGGATAATAACGCGACTTCGCGTGTGTTACATTTTAAATGTATGGTTGGAGTACGACAATTATTACACGATTATTCGTGCAAGTAACACTATATTTTCTTAATGTCTAAAATTAAGCAAGTAATTTTTACTAATTAGATAGACAATACAACCACAGGTTTCATGATGTGTTTCGTTAATTTTAGTCACAATTTCGATGTTAGCTCATTCCTTATTGCGTCATAAGATAGGTATGTTGTTTAAAATTACATATGTAGATAGTTTATTTGAATAATAAAATATAGTCTAATTAATATATCTTTCATAAATAACGTTAATTTCTTATGTTTTGTTAAGTAATAGAGTAGATCTGATGGAATTACGAACACAGAATAATACGTTTGAAAATTTATAAAAAGATATGAAAAAACATACACGATAGATACGAGGTTAAAATGTCGAGTCTTCAGTGCGACTCCCAAAAGGGAAGCGTTTTCTATTCGTCTGTATTTTATGTTTGTATGTTACCTATTTTAAAACGAATTTGATAATTATTTTTCATATGATAAAGTTTACTTCCTTATTGGTTTCATGTTAATTATGTGACGATGGAAGTCTACTTGTCAGCTTATATTATTCTTTATTAAAGTGACTGGGTACCAAACATAAAAATATTCACCTAAATACCTTTAAATTTATATTATTAGTAGGTCTATCCTACCTAAAGCTGTCCTTTGTATTTATCATCGATCATATAATTCATCTCATTCATCATGTACCATTATTATATACATCGTTTCTTAGGTATGTAATGTTATAAGGCTTCGTCTCGGATATCTCGGAAAATTCCCCAGCTATCTGATTGCGCCCGAAAATAAATTAAATTATTTGTAGTATCTCTTTGTATTATTCTGTTATGTAAAACCTAACAGAGTTTCGGTCGTAGCTCTAATGCATGCAAATTGGTTGAGTTTAATTTGATATGAAAATTGGTTTAGTTTAACTTTGGTAAACTAAATTTCCTAAAAAAATATATAAAATTCTTTAATTTTATTCATTTTTTTATACTTTTGCACACATTAAAATATGTCTACAGGGTTGACTTAACATCTGATGGCATTCTCTACCAGTTAACCGTTACACTAAACTAAAAGAGAAAATATCAGTGCATTGGTGAAGCAAAATCTATTTGTAAATGAAATAAATATTTTGATAAATAACAACATTAATACATTTTAAAATAAATTAACATACAAACATATAGAATAATATATTTTACTCATTTAATTTTACCTATTAATTTTTTTATTATACGCGTTGTTTATAAGAAAATTTTAGCCATTAGTAGTTTTGCAACCATAAATAGACAAATGGTTCATTATTCGTAAAAAATAACATAGTATATTTTATATCATTACCCTATATAATAAACAATGTAAAATACATTTATCCATAAACATTACTTAGTTTGGGATCAGATGGCACTGTTCAATTTGCTATTCCAGGGGCTGTTTGCATACCGAATTTGTAGGGAGGATATGTTTTGAATATATCTGCAAGTACAACGAATTGTAGCATTTATGGATGCTTCTGTGCATTCACTCGATATGTTTTGATTATATTTATCATAATAAATTACAATCGACTTCCAATTCTTGACTAAAATAACAAATTGTATATAAAGTTATAATAATCTAGTTGTCAGTAATGGTAATGCATTTAGAGTGCGGAAGATATCACAGTATATTTTGTGATGTCATGTTATAGGCAATGTTTGACATTTTACATTAGGTAAGCTGTCACTTTGTTCGCTATTTCGAGTTATATAAAAAAGACATAAACATACATAGAAAATATTGAAATATCTACCTTCTATTTAATTAGATTAGCAGAAAAAAACGAATCCTTTGAAGTTTATTCTCTCACACTTATGTACATAAAGCTATTAGTAAGCCGAATTTCTCAGGTTTGCTTTATTTTGAAATTATTTGAACTTATACATAGGATATGGTTGGTTGAAATTTGAAAGACTAATTAAATTTATTACGTTAATCAGTGAATGAGAAAAGATATTTCGCCCTAAAGTAATCGAGATGTTTATTTTATTCTTTGACCTAGTTTCAATCAGAATATTCGACCTCGAACCTATAAAACCCTTCAGTCTTGCGCCGCCTTCTGCCTAATCTGCGAAATATTATTTTGAAGCGACTTGAAAAGGAAATTCTAAATTTACTTATATGTCTTATACATATGTTTATGCGTATTTTTATTTCTATGCTGTATCTTCACAAATTATTATTTTTTCAATAGAGAGACAAACGTATTTAATTTTTTTTAATTATTTCTATCACTCATCGACTGCTTAGTTTGAGACTACATATCGCTGTATGATTATATTATATGATATTTATTGCCATTTTATTATATTTATATCTTTTGTGGCACAGAATATTAAGGTTTTTGTGTCACCTCTGTATGGCTAAGCTATTCCTATTTAGCACCACTATCTTTACATATTACATAGACTTATTTGTGTGGGTAATAGTGTTCCCTGGGGCGGCAGACCGGGCTGGCTCGCTATTCAGAATGCTTTATGGCTCCGACGTGCTGCCCTATATAATATGGCAATTTTCCAGATTGCTACTTCTCACCAGCAATCTGGAAAATTGTACAATTAAAAATATACTTTGGTTGTCAGGCCCAGGAAATATATTTTGTCTTGTTCATATTCCAAATTTATGTTATTGATTATATTGCGTAACGGAAATGAATGAAAAATATATTTATTTATACTGATAGGACAACCAACAGCGCAATATATAAATGATAAATGGTATAGTTAAAATATTTACTCCTTCTGCGTGTATATCTATGTAAATACATATAACTAAGAAACTGCTTAAGAGTAAATAAATAAATACGCTACCTGTTTTTTTTTTTTTTTTCTAAAACACGCATAGAAGTAATATTATGACGATTTAACATTTGAATGTATTTAAGTCATATGCTTTATTTGCCATTTGCACATAAACACATTAAATATTTAATCTTTATTATACTGGCACGGTCTTTTGTTCTAGCAATATCAACATCAAAACAAATACTTAAAAATCCGAAAATAACAGTATTTTAAAAATATTTACTTTGCCAAACCCCAACGAAGTCTTATCTGGTGTCTTGATAGAAGATAATATCCTTATCCATAAACTCGTTGTAAATTATATTATCGAACATGCTCCGTTTACATCGATCCAGCTACTAGATCTAGCTACTGGGTTTATTTGTTCAGTAGTATTGTTGTATCTAAATTCGTTAATGTCATAGATTGACAGTGTAATTTTATCACTTGAATATAAGTGGCATAATGTCCGTGTTATTGCAGTACATTATATGCTGCAGTAGCTTAAGCTGAGCTGGGAATTTAGTCAAAAATCCCTTGACAACTTTTTCAGACCTGAAATGACAAACGTGCTGCCACACAACTAATTGAAACTGAAATATAATCGTATCATACTACAGAATACGCTTTGACATCTGTACTGAAGCGTTATATCTGTAGAAGAGGGTCACAGTGAAAAATAATATTCTTAAGAGCAACAATATATATAATACGTATAGATACAAGACGAGACTTAAATTTACATTATGGCTGCAAAGAAGTTTCAATAATAACTTAGCATTCAGTAATTTTATGCCATATTTCATCTTTTAATCTGAAATACGGCCATGCAAGCACTACTGCTTAGCGATAGAAACATCAGAGAAAAATATATATACTTTTTTTGTATCAAATTTTACTCTCATCGTTTGAAAGTTTTAGAAAAATATTTGTTGAATATCTTTTTTTTTAATAAATTATTCAAACGTGAAATGCTTTTTAAAACTTAGTTTAATGACAATAATTATTTTCATAATTAAAGCCAAGTTGAAAAACACTCGCCTGGAAATTTATCACTGCTGGAATCGCTTGATGTTTAAACGCTCAATAGCTAAATATGCCCTATTTATGACACTATGAACTTATCAGATAACTTTCAGTTATGGACAATACGAACGTTCTGTTGTACTTTAGTGTTTTTTATAATACGATAAAAAGGAATTTAATCAAATAGTGGCTTTGATTTAGTGTTTAATATGGCTATTTTGGATACATTGCAGTTGTCCAATCAAGTGGAAAAGTTGGCGCAAGTGAGCCGCGACCTACGGCGGAAGCACAAACAGTTACAGAATCAGGTAATTTTTCTACTATATAAACAAATAATAATAACAAAAAAATAATTACCTATAGATACACAAGTATGATGATAATAATTTTATATGGACGAAATAATGCCGCTTCTTTCAGTTAATAAAAGTTAAACTAAATTATTGATAACGCATAAATTTGCGAGTGGATTTAAGAATATAAAATTTTGCACAAAAGTTACTGGTATCTGTCTACACGTAAAGACTCGTAAAAAAAAAAACTTTGTTACAAATATTTTTAAGTTGTTACCTCTTTTATGTTGATGATATTAATAATAATAATAAACAGATTATGTTTATACAAAAAGAATAGCACACATTTAGGCTTAGGCCCGTGCATACCTGTAAAACCGGTTTTAAGCCGAGATAAACTATATATAAAATAATAATAGTAGTAAATATTTTTTATTAAAGTAACCTTAGGCCTATGTCCAGCAGTGGGCAGATAATGGCTAAAATGATGCTGATGATGAAAGTAATCTAAGTAAGCAGTTTTAAATCGTTATTATTGTGATTGCTGTGCCCTTCCAGGGTTCATGTTGATTCTTTTAATAACTTAAGACCTAAATTGTTACAGCATGAAATAGCAATAAATGATTGAATTGAATTTTATTTATTTACCGCCCAGTTCGGAATGCAATTTCAACTGAAAAGAACGGGCAAGAAACACAGCTGTTTTTTTTTCGAATATAAAATATACAACATAATGTATCAATGGATAAAATGACTATCACAAACTTTATAATTTACTTACCAATATATAATGGATCATCAAATACCCGATGTTTACGACCTTTTAAAACAGAGAACAATTAAGCCGTAGTTGTTCTAACAATTCTCTGCTTGATAAATAACATTATGAAATGAATTTTCGATCATTTGCAGATGCGTTTAGTTTGCGAGGAGCGCTCTGAACTGACAGCCATAGTTCAATCGCAACAACGGGATATCGCCGCGCTCCAGCAGGCTGATGCACAAAACAAGGTAGGTATCTATCAGACTAATAATAACCTTAATGTATAAAAATTCTGTGTCACGACATTCGTTCATGCTAATTTTCTAAACCGTTCAACTGGTTCAAATGAAATTTAGTAAATGTATATTATTTCCTCTTATGAGATTGGTTTGTATCCCGATATGAATAGGATAATTGGCGGTTAAATGCAAAACTACATTTGCCTGGTCAGTTACTAATGTATAAATATATTTTTACATACATACATACATACATAATCTTTCACGTCTGTCTCTCATTAGGGTAGGCAGAAACAATATAATAATATACTTTTATTTCTTATAAATATATTTTAGTTTTAAATGTATGTTTTACATTGACCAATTTTCAGAATGAATGGACTTATTACCTCTTAACGTGTTCGTGACTAGTTAAGGTCATTGCAGGCATATTGCAGGAAAATCTATTAGTACTATTAATACTTTACATGACGCTGTTGCTCCATTCTATTTATTGTAAATTTCAGCCAACTAAATCTTTATTTGCTTTGAGCAAAAATTCGAAGTAGATTCGGGTCAGTGTCTAAGTAATGTCGACGTTTTTATTATCATCATTATTGTTGAGCAAAACAACCCATTATCGTCCTACTTGTGAGTATGGCCCCCATAATGGAAGGTTATTAAACATATTGCCACGCTTGCTAAGCGCCTTGTTATGAGATTTGATTTCAAGTTTTCCTCCTCTAGTATTGGTGTACTCGTTCTGACTCAGTACGAGTATTTTAGGGAGTCTTTTCTCCTGAAGATGAAAAAATGTGGTCATACGGTGTATTTTTATTCCGTTACCATCACGAATAGTAGAAAATTTATAAAGACCGTAGGCGCTAGGAGTGAAGTCCTTAATTTTTTAAAACTAACCCTTAGTAAAATATCGACGTAACTCAAAATAATATTTATTGACGATTTAAAAGTGCTTAAACAAGTCTATTTTGAATTAATATGATGTGAATTCGAAATTAACATTTTTTTATATTTAAAGGAAAAGGAATGATTTTCTTATAAAAACTTATTTTGCTAATTTTGAACTGACTTCAAAAGGTTTTTTCCTGTTTGTTTAGTTTTTTCATGGTTCAGGTTTATATTTTATTTTTATCTGTGTTACATTGGAATTCCGTCATTAGTAGTTTGGTTTTTAAATCAAAATAACTGGTGTGCCACCATGGAAATTGTTGCTTTTTTTGTACACAAAATCTATTATAAATCGATATCGTTTTCTTATCTAAAGGGTGAGATGTATTATTAAACAGGTACATTTCAATGTGCATGCCACATACTTTTTTTTCTGAAAACAATAGTTTAATTACATATCGTGTTGTATTATGCCTTTTTTATGGTATTTCATACCAACAATACTAATAAGCCTGCTGTCACATGCAGCTATGCGAATGAAATGCGGAACGGGCGTTTCTGCACACGGCACAATGTATCAAAAATAATTTCATACAGTGAAACAGCTTAGTTGTAGTACTAGTAATGTGGTTTCTGACACAATGTTGGAAACCATTTGAGAGCGTAATATGCATAATTTACATAGTTTACTAGCATTAACATGTTCGGAAATAATCTCATACAATGAACTCGCCGAAATGTCATGACAGTTTAGTATGCTAGCGTAGTTTTTAGTATAATGTTCAAAACTATATTCTTTTTTCAAACCGATATCAAAACAGGAGGAGGTTCTCATTTCGGTGGCTTTTTTATGTTTGTTACCTCATAAAACTCCGTCAGTTATAAACCGATTTGGAAAATTCTTTTTTTTTATCTGAAAGGATTGCAGTCAGGTTGATGCCAATGAAATATCGAGATGATGATCTAACACAGAAGTACAAAATGCTGTGTTGGCGGCACTCAGATCTCAGATGGATCACATTACTTGCTTACTTTTATACTGCCTTATTATTTGCATGGAATATAGTCATTTTATCTAGTTTCTACAAGTATTTTTTTATTATATATTTTTTTTAATATTTTAATATAACAAAGTACATATATTATAGAAATGTGCCGCATGCGGCGCGGCGACTCCAGACGGGTACGATGATGAGGACCAGTCTTCCAAGCCCACGTTCAGTGTGCGCGAGCTGCGTGCCATCCTACACGAGAGGAATGAATTGAAATTGAAGCTCAATAGAGCCGAAGAGCAACTGCAGGCGTTACAAGTTGAACCGCAACCAGACAGGTAGATAATATGTTTAATAAATCTATTTCTTACAATTGATTTATTATTATTATTTAATTAATAATAAATTATTAGTTGGCAATCGTTGTGAAACTTGCAGTGCAGTGAATAGATTAAAAAATCTGGAGTGAGAGAATGCATATATGACTTACATTTTTAATACAATTTTATATTTACTGTTTACAATGGATAATAAAATTAATTGACAGATATTAACAAAACATGACGTCACATTTATTGAGTTTTTTTAATGAAATCCTATAGAAGTTGTAAAGTGTTGATGTTTTTGAAGATATAAAAATATTATAATATTGTTGATACAGCAGTTCAGACACATCGCCGTCTATGAGTACGATAGCGGCGGAGGAAGAAGAGGCCCCAGTACAGGGTCCCCTGCCTGCTGAACCTGACGACGCCCCTTGGAAAAGGAACGGGGGCATCAGGAAGTTGTAAGTACACGCACACATTTGCTTCACTAGCTTAACTCACTCACACATACGCAGTTCATAATACAATGCGATCAAAATTAGAATGTTAATGTCCTGAAATGTCAACTGTTTTGACAAGCACTCTTTGTATTCATATTAATTTGCAAGTAAAATTAGTTTTTTTTTTTTACGGATCATAACTAAATATTATTATAGAATTTATTTGTTGATTAAGTCGTACAATTACTTATTTTCGCAACTAATAATCGCCACAATATGGCGACAAGTCAGTTCTTATTTTGATCGTGTTACAAAATTAAATTTCACAATATGGGAAAATTGGAGCAAGTGGTCAATAATATCATTAAGGAACCGTAATACGTCGTATCATTTTGAAACCATTGATTCAATGTTCGTATGTCTTTTGAGATAATCGCGTTCAATGTTAATTCTTATCATTACTTATCTTTCCATTTACATTATTCATTACCATCGGGTGAGGTGATATCTAACGCAAATCCATTTCAATTATAAATAAAAAAACATCACCCGAATTCCAGAATTATTTCATTATAATTTCAATGGAATGTTTATTATATTTGATGGATTTCATCTATAGTTTCTTTCAATAGAATTAATGAAACAGCAATCAAGTTTTGTTCTGATTGTCGTATAAATATCTTTACCTGCTGATATTAATGCTCCGTTCCACTTCTGTATGTGTTATTAGTGTGTACAATAAAGTATAAGTAATAAATATACACCTTATGAATGATATTAGTAACACAGTCTTTGATTTGTTCATCACTATTGGACATCAGTAAACTGTTTTGCGGTCGTTCAGGTCGATTAAGTTTGTTTAAATTTTCAATATTGAAACCCACTATAGTTACATTAATTGAAATTTATCAATTGTTCTTGAATTTTATTATCAAAACGAGCATCTATGATAGTAGAATTATCATTGTTCTTCTTATAAGTTCTAATGTAGATTGGTTAATAACTGTTTCATAGTATTTAAGTAGTTTAATACTAATAATATTAACAATTTCAAAATACAGCATGTTCGTATGTAGATTAACACATTGCACAGTATTAGTATCTTAAGTTTCTTTTTTATTTTTATTATTCTATATGCATGTAATTTATTACCATTTTGCATGATGTTCATTTGCTCAACGAAATTTGACGATGTTGAGTGGTGTGTTCACTGCAATATTATAATATTATTCATAGATCGCGGAAAACACATGACAAAATTATTATATATATGAGTATAGTTTTTGATTGACTCGATATAAAAAAATTAAACTATGATAAAATATATATTTTTTTTATTTATTTAACTCTTTTATGGCAACCCTTACACCTTTGTCGGCACATCAAAAGAGCTTTCCTTCTGGGTATTCTTTGTTATCTGTGGTATTGGTAAGGATTATATAAATACGGAGCTTCGAATTTTTGGTAACTATCGATCTTTGGTAACTTCATTCTGGCCTTGTCTTGCTTCTCCGATCGAATTAAAATATGACTTATTATTATATTTTAATTCAGAACGGTTATTTATATTTTTTTTTTATATCACTGGTGTTGTTATTTTTTTCCTTGGTGGCCGGTCATCACATTACACTATGCTTTATTTGGTTCTGGTACATTTTTCTCATTTTATTTTATTTAGATTTGGGGTCATAAAAATACGCATGACATTTAAAGTTATTTTTAATATAAAAATTATTTAGTTACTCTTTCAATTTTTTTATGTCTTTTTAGGTTTGTTTTATTACGGAAAATGAGACCAGGGCCGAAAGAGATCACATGTAAAACACAACATCTTAAATACTAGCCAAGGAGCACGATTTTGCATGGAGTTCCAACAATACACGGTCGCTTACCCGCTTGACCACTTGAATACCCCTTTCCCATTCCTTTCATATGTATTATTAAAAAAAAACATATTATTTTTTATTTCATAGCACAAATCATCATTTTGACAAAATATTATTTCAAGATAATAATATCATTGACACAAATCAACTGTAATTAACATTTTTAATCATCTATGTTATGTGCATTTTTTATTACTTTTTTTTTATTTTCACTGGTGTATTTTTTTTATAAAAACAAAAATTTGTTTCGATTATACTTTGGAATGAGCACCTATATTATTTATATCGTATATTTTTTCCACATTTTTGTTCTCGAATATAGGGTGTATGTATTGTATTTTTAATTTTGCATCTGTCCCTGTGTCCCCCCGCCCGGCTCGTCCCGCCTCTCCCACCTGTCCCGTGCAGGTTCCAGTTGGCGCTGCGGTCGCGTGGGAGTCCGCCGTCTCGGATCTCTTTCGGCCCCTGGTACTGAGCCGGCCCTTCGCTGGCTCGTCCTCTGGTACGTCGCTACTACACATAACATACCTAATGTCTACGCCTTTACTATTAATATAAAATATAAAAAAAAACTGTCATACCCAAGGGGTTCAAAAGTGCACTTTATATATTTCATAATAGAATTTGCTTTGCATAACCCGCCGTATATAAAACGCCTCTCGCTCTAAAGGCGTAATATTAACGGACTAGTACATTTACAGCAGCGGGTTGTACAAAACAATTCCTATTATGTTCGCGTATAAAGGCGTTTTTAAACTTTGGTGGGTACAGCTTCTAAATTGATTTTAAGAAGTACTTAAAATGTGCGTCAGTCAGTACAATAGTATTCTGTAATGGTGATGTTCAGTTAACAATTGAATTATTCAATAGCAAATATGCTGTGAGAAAAATGTCGTTGACGTAATTATCAACTTAGTATACAAAAAAAGAATGTGAAAATTATATTAATTCGAATAGTTTTTGTCAGAAAAGGGCAAGGATTTAAACATTTTTTGGAACAATTCTTATTATTAATCATAATAAAGGTAATGTTTACTTGATTTTTATTCTCGGGTATGTTATTTGCAGTAGTTGAAGCAACTTTTATTTTATTTTAACATCAACTAACGAAAATTTGTCGAAAATGGATATAAAGGATGTGGATTAAAAGGTTTGGGCCCTTTAGTTCTCTAATATTGCATGTAAATATTTTTGCCAATTCTTAATTAAGTATAATCTATTTTCGACATTTTTCGTATTTTGATTATATTTTGGTCATTATTTTTGTTCTTGTAGTTCACCATTTATAGATTAAATTTATTTTTACATTGACTAGATGCCAGTAGATTATCACAAGAGATTAATAATCACACTTATTGCAATTATAGATAACAATAAATATGTCTTAAATTCCTTATAAGTAATAACATTTATTTTCGATACCTAAGTGATGCTATTTCAGGTAAATAGTACTATATTCAATTTCATTGTTGACGTTTCAACCCACGTCTAAATGGTACTTATATTCTTGAAATTACGTTACTAAGAAATCGCTCCTTATCGTATAATAGTTTTCAATATAAAAATGTAATGCCTGTTTACAGTTTTCGCAAGCTCTTTGCTGAGTCTGATATCACCGTGGGATCGTTCCCCCGGCGCTCGCTATCCTCGCTTGCCAGCAAGATGTCCGCGGCCGGTGGCGCCCCCACCGCCCCCGCGTAGACACTCGGAACCCACCAACACATCCACCATCCACAGCACGTACACCAACACACAGAAATACATGCGCTACTGGGACACCAGGAATCCGCAGTCGAAACTCGACCTGAGACAGGAGTTACTCAATACTGATCTCGACAACAAAGAGTGGGATACATGGCTAGGTAAAAACGAAGAGAATGATGAACTTCTTATTACTTCAAGGAGAGACAGGTTCGTGCACGATATACTATTAAAGAGATCTCTATCCCTCGATGGTGGTATAGATATAATCGACTATCTGCAGACTATTAGCTCAGATTGGTCAGGGAGCAGTTTAGCGTCCTCGTGGACCGTATATTCGGATAGCCCGAGTCGCATAGAACACTATAAGAGATTCGGAAATGTCCCAGCTTCTCAGTATGTAATGAAAAGCAGGAGGGCATTTTCTGATATTGATAGCGCGTTCTTCGCCCGTAGTCTCGCTTTATCAGTACTGAGATCTAGTTATAGAGAAATCGATACGGGACACAGTAGTATGGGCTCGCAAATAAAGAAGTTGCGGGAAATCTATTCTTTGAATGATTCTTTTGATGATCTTGTGGTATTAAATAAAATTGAAGAATGTGAGCAGCAGGATACTGGTGAGATTGAAGTGACGAAGCCGTTCTACAGAAGAAAATCATCAGAAAGCGCCAACAACAAAACGAGCGATAGTGACCGGGAAGACGATAAGAGATACGGTCCAAGGAGAATTAGTATAGCTAGCAAACTGTCACATCAAGGAAGCAATACAGCAGATGATGGTTTGAAACGGAAGGTTTTTATGAAGCGGAACTCTTGTCATTTCGATAGCTGCGAAAATATTTTACGTCTTGATTATAGAAAATCGCGTCGCTGGTCGACAGAGTGTGGAACTGAATCGATGTCTCGACACATGTATCGAGAAAACAGTTCAAATGATATAAAGACTAGTGGGAATAGAAAATTGGATAGAGCAATATCTTTACAAGCCGCGGTGGAATGTAACCGACAGGTCGTGTCCATGGTATCGACAACACAAGTCGGCGATAGCAGTGAGGCCAAATATGAACGTTTAGATACGAATGCTTCCACTTTGGTAGATCTAAGTAAAAAGTGTGACTGTCGAATTTGTTTAGAGGAAGAGAGTGAAGCTAAGAAGTCCTTAGTTAGTAGGGTACTGAACAGTCTATTTTTAAAGATTGTATCGTCTAGGAATTTGACATATTCGGATGAAAATAACAATATGAACGAGAGGGAAATGTACGACTGTTTTGTCCACGTATTGAAATTGATGCTTGGCCTTTGGCTGAGACATTTAGATCACAACTGATTTGAAAGAGAGAGAGAGATGTGAGTTAATATATCATTATAATGATATCATATACTAGATAGAATAATGTTGTTAAGTAAATATTCGTAAACGCTTTTCTCACACAAAATATCTTTGGTTATGATGTAGGCACTCGGTATTTTGTATAATGATGTCCTTTTACGATGCTGAGAATGTAACGCCTTTGTCTCTCGTCGAGTTTAATGGTTTTTCATTGTTAATATTTTACATAAAACATTATTTTAAAGTCTGTTTTATAATTAAGCTAGATTGTGTGCAGTGGTGCTGTAAGTAGGAAATCATAGTTTAATAACGAAAATTTAACTTCAAAGGTTAGTTTTTAAATCATCTTCATATGACCATATTCATATGACCACCTTCATATTATACACTAAGATTTCTTAATTATAGTACACATAATTTGTATACAATTTTAGCGTTGTAGAATATTGAAGAATGTTATTAATTATGTATTATCTAACAGTAATGAAACATCACACGATTTCCTTTAGCAAAGAGGGGGTGCTATTGATGTTTTTAAAGGGAGATTTAAGCTGTGTTTGCTTCATGAATAAATAAGAATATGCCTCGCAAATATTAACGAGTGTCTATTCAGTTGTAAACAATTGTTATTAAGTATGACAGTGGCATACTTCAATAATCTTTGATAAGTATAAAGCGGAAAGACCTAGAATGGAACCTCTTAACAACTGTAGTCCATTCGAACTTCTTGGTCTATCTAGTAGTGCGTACATTTCTAAAACATGTCAATTTCCTATTCGTACGGTTACTGAAATAAATTGCACATAATATAATAAAATAGATTTTTAACTGCTCTTCCAATTTTATTAAATCATATATATATGTATACAGGGTTAGTCGGAAAGGGTATAGCAACTTAGTGATACTTTTATCAGAACGAACGATTACAATTTTTAAGTATTTCGTAGACACGCACGGTCATGCTATTAGTTTAGTATTAAACTTGGACACAATTGTTCAGTTCCTTAAATATTGCCAATATCTTTTTTTTGTTATATCCCTTCTGTTATACTTTGTATGATTAAAGTAGCATTTACACGGACATTTTTAAGCAATAATTGTTTATTGAGGTTTATTTAGTTGATGCATATAGCTCAGTTAGGCGATATTTTTATCAAGTTGCTACATAATAGCATCGAGCTAAATTGCTTAGTGTTGCCATTGCCAAGAATTGCGTAATAACATTGTTCGTGTAAGCGCAATTTTAGGATTAATTGATAAAGTTTCACATTTGTTTTATACTTGATAGATATGAACAAAACTGGCTCTTAATTCTAGTTTATATTGTGATGTTATTTATATTGTGTGCAGTTTAATTTATATATGACTATACTTCATTCTAGTGTGGGTGTAAGAATGATATTTTATTCACGATGTCAATACCTGTATTTATTCTGTATTTATATTGACCCAATTTAATACATTCATTTTCTGTGAAATATTTAAGAATATCATAATAATATTATACATTTATATTTGCATTATTTAGAAGTAAAACTGGAGCATATATTAAATATATGGCAACTGTATATATGTAACAAATAAATAGTACAGTTAGCATCAAAAGTCAAGAACATCCGACTTCATCTCCATTATTATAGAATCTGTATGCATAGGTTCATAGTTTCTTGGGTATGTTTAGCTAATTTAGACCTATGCGAAAGTTTTAATTTTTTGTAAATTTTTATTTGTCTATTGACTTCGCGATTTTTGTACATGTAGCAATTATAAAAATAATTTGACTATGTTATGGGATTATGTAATGTTAAAACTATAATTGTATGTAATTATTATATAATTATTCATCTTTACGGAAATTGAATGTACTAATCGTGAATGTATGACGCGACTGACATTTTACGGCTGTGTATGTGACATTACATGTGAGTTATATAATGTTGCATTATGGAGATGTTATTTTGTAAGAGTATAATTTTTGGCCGCATTTCCGTTGTATTATATTGACTTATTAATTTAGTCGACTGGTTTCTGCTTAGTTTATAACTTTTTATTTTAATGCGAATCATTTATTAATGTAATAGTATCTGCTTCAATAAAAATACAATGGATTCTTATTTAGCCTATCATTCATAATAATAATCGTAATAGTTGAGGAGTTTGGAAGTAAATAATAACAATAATATTTATTTATTTATCTCACAATTTTTTCAGTACAATGAAACACTTAAAATAATACCCTAGATACTACAAAATTGTGGGAAATTGGTGCCTGGAATGGAAATCTAAAGAACACGTACCACAAGTCACCAGTTCATTTAAATAAAAATGTATTTTTAATACATGTTAT